CAATCAATTAAAATAATGACAGCTACTGCAGCTGTTTCGTACCTATCCGCTGCAAGATGATCTTGGGTATCCGGGTAAAATCCATCAGTCTGCGCTGATCGTCCATCTCTTCCTCCATCTTAACGTTGATTCTTTCCACTCTGTGAATGTTTCTTCAGCAGGAGTTTCCTGCTGCTTGATAAACTCTGTGGGGCTGAACTGAAGACATTTTTACTGAAAACACAGAAACATTTAACTAAACTGCAAAACAGTCTTTAAGAGGAAAAGTAAAACCAGATATTTGCTCTGTTTTATGTTTCACGAGTTTCACTGTTGTTGTGCTGAAGAAACTGGAAGTGATTATTAGTTTGGCTTTAAATTTCTGCTGAGTCTCTTCTTTTAAAGTCCTGGAGGGCTGATGCCCTGAAACCTTTAGCTGAGCCTCTGCTGCACCACCTGAATAGAGTAATTAGGTCATTAAGGCTCTGCAGATCTGATCCACACAAGGAGGAGGTAATTATGGTGATTTCATTGCAGTGTTTTGTACCTGTGCTCATCTAAACACTGCAGGTCACCTTGAGGACTGGAGTTTGACTCCTGTGGTTTAGTCAGAACTCCTGCTGAAGAAACATCCACAGAGTGGAAATAAATCAACGTTAAGATGGAGGAAGAGATGAACGATCAGCTCAGATCAGTCTGGAAAAACACTGATGATGACAATAACTGTTTGATTACCTTGGTAACTAAGAGTGATAGCAAATTAGAGTAAATTCTTTCTGATTCATTTCCTTTTTTCCATTACTATTCATTCAGTTCCTCAGTTGATCCGAGTGAAACACAGTATAATTTTTTCAAGTCTTTTTAATTAATTATTAAGTTTTAATGTTTTTTTAACACATTACTAAAGGTTTTTTTTAATTTGTGGAATATTTTTTTTAAACTTTCAATGTATGATAAAAACATTTTAAATCAGAAATATGTCACAGAAGCCCCTTTATGCTGCCACCTACTGACAAGAACCTGGTACTACACCTTCAAAGAGCTATTTTTCTACGGTCTGTGCGACTGAATTCATTTCAATGGATTTCATATGCAGGAGTATGTTTAAACAGTCATGTTCAATAACATGGAATCAGACCAACAACAAAAAAGTTGTATTTCAAAAATGTTTGTGTTTCCTGGTTGAATTTATCTGTTGTTATAATTACTCAAAATGTTTTTCTTTGGTTATTTGTATGGGTTCCTACCTGACTGAAAATCTCTGTTATTGTTTTAACTGTGTTACTTTAAGAACAGAAGCCCCTCCCCTTTTGTTTCTTCCTCTGTGGTATTGTCTTTAAAATGTTTGTGTCCCTTAGACCCTATCCTTTTGTCATGTTGTCCTGTGGAGAGGTGTGTATTATTTATTTTGTATCTAAATACATCCAGTTTATTTATAAATTTATTAAGTTAATTTCTGTTATGTACTTTTGTTTATGTAGGGCTTGGAGCGGCAGCCTGTAACACGGTTATTTTCTATCTGTTATTCTTGTCAGAATAAACCCTTTTAAAGGTGAACCACGGCCTGATCATTTAAAACCAGAACAACGCAGATCGGATCCGGTTACATGTGTTTGAAGTCAGTTATCTATTGTGAGACGTTTTTTTAATTTTATTTCAAATGTTCAAGTTGAATACATTACTCTAAACCACATGTGGCTTCATACTGTTTAACTTTAAAAATGAATCAGAACCTACAAACTAAAACCTCATGTGTCGATATAATAACTGTACGTGCTTTGTTCTAATTAAACAGATCTAATCATGCTCAATAAATTAAAATATGAAAGAAAATGTGGTATATTAAAGAGGAACTTTTGAATCGTTCACAGTTTCTTCAGTACAGCTCCAGTGAAACACGGGGAAGATTTCTGAATATTTTGTTCTTTAATAAATCACCTTAAGAAAACGAAATTGGTAGAAAGAATATTTTAATAATAATAATAATAATAATAATAATAATAATAATAATAATAATAATAATAATAATAATAATAATTTGGGTGCGGGAGAATATTTATGTAGCATCCCGTTTCACACTCTATTCCAGTAGATGGCGGTAATTCACATCAATAAGTTTCTTGCCAACCGCCATGAAAAAAAGAAGAAGAAGAAGAAGAAGGCGGGGAAGATGAAAACAGAGCACGCGGGCTCGCTTTAGCTTTTCCTTTGTTAGACGGTCGTTTGGAGAAGAGTTTGAGGTTTAGCTAATTTTTTCCGTGTTTAATGTAAAAATGTCTTCAGTTCAGCCTCAGAGAGTTTATCAAGCAGCAGGAAACTCCTGCTGAAGAAACATTCACAGAGTGGAAAGAAATCAACGTTAAGATGGAGGAAGAGATGGACGATCAGCGCAGACTGATGGATTTTACCCGGATACCCAAGATCATCTTGCACCGGATAGGTACGAAACAGCTTCACGGTTTACTGATTAGTGAGGTTAAAGAGAGTTTTTACAGATAAATAATCGTTGTGTTTGTAAACGTATTTAAAGTAAATTAAGTAAAAATAGAAAATCCCTGGAGAAATGTAACCAGGGCCTGCTAAAGTGTGGCCCCAGTTTGGACCCAGCGCTCTGATTCTAACAATCAGCATCAATACTAAGCTAAACTGAATTATAGTCAATAGCCTGTGGAAAGTCACAAACATGTTGACTAATATGGACTTCCTCCATTCAGTTTGTTAAAATTAGTGTATAATCTAAAATGAGCCAAAATGCTAATGTTAGCCTAAATGCTGCTAGTAGCATGTGGGGCATCATTACAATGTGGTCTTACATTGACTTCCTGCATTCAGGGTCCTAAACATGGCTAATAAGTAATAAAAATAGCTAGAAGCTTATTTCAGGGAAAAGGCTGATGCTTGTGCAGCAAAGCAGAGCCCTAACCTGAGAGGAAAAGATCATGCAGGCTAATATTATTGCACTGTCTCTGAGTCGGTTTCTCTTCGCAATATTTATTAACCTATTTGTATGATTTGTTCTGTAAATTGCCATTCATATTATTTCTCAGTCTCTATCACTGAGGGATGAAGAGACTGATGTTGGTTCTTTAGGTTCTGACGGGTCTGCGGTTCCTCTCCTGACCCACTGTGCACCCTGAATATCGCCGACACAGTTTTTTAATTCCCCTATCAAACTTCTCTGTGATTGTTTAGCCTAGAATGTGCATCTTCCAATGTTATGTTATTTGATGTTATTGTTACAGGTCAGTTTTCTAAACTACAAAGAAATGACTGTTAGGGATGCTCCAATATGAAAAATTGGATTGATATTGATATCTGATATTAACACTGGTGTTATAGCAGATTTACCAATTTTATTTTATACATTTTTAATCTGATTAGTTGATTAATCATAAGAATAATTAATAGATTACTCAATTACTGAAATAGTTGTTTACAGCAACGCTACTATCCATCCAGTTATCACTAGAAAATATTTATTGACTTTCTCTTGTATCTTGTCACATATGCTGAGCTGACAGCGCCTCTTAATGCTCATTTGTACTCAATGCATGTCAGCTATTCTGACAGAATAACGGCTCAAATTTAAGTTAAAGAAGGTCAGTGTTAGACCTGCCCAAAGCCCCGCCCTCCACTTTCATTGGGGAATTATTTTATGGTGACACGACAGGAAGTGGATCCAGGTGATAATAATGATCACAACAATCAAAAGCATATTTAGTAACTGTCTTGTCTGGCTGCTAAATTTCCATTTTCATAATGTAAACTTAGTAAATGACTTATTAACTAACTTGTGTCTTAAATAAACTCGTTAAATAATTTTATCATTGTACATTTTCATCTTTCATATTTAATCTTCCAAATTGTCCAATATTCATGCTGGTAACTATAATTTCCTGAGGGAGTCTTCCCAAGGGATCAATAAAGTCAAGTCTAAGTCTAAGACTCTCTAAGTCTAAATATTTTCCATTGGTTCATTTTGCCATTATTTTCTGCATGTGTGCGATTAACAACAATCACCCAATGCTACCAATTCTGCTGTGAATCCAGGAAAGTAAAGGCTGAGATTTAGTTGTGCTTTTGAACGTTTGTGTTGAGTGTGTGAGCGGAGCAATGTCTGACAATATCAGCGGGTGAGATTAAAAATTACTTTATGGTTTCCCTTTAGGCATTTTATGTCACTCTTTAATGTGATATATATCTGGTGACATATAATGGGTGCACTTCCCCTGCGCCCATTACAGGCACACAGCCCGCATCACCACCAGCGTTGGTCCACAATCTCCCAGTCGGATTGCGACACCGTGTGTGTGGTCAGGGTACACGTCCAAAAGTCAGGTGACCTGAACATCTGACTCGTCCTCCATGTAGGCGTCTTCTTCCTCTCTCTACATGGAGGAAGAAGATTTTATGTAATATTTGTCAGGAAGCTACTAGATTAAGCTATTGCCATCTTATTTGCTCACCTGGAGATTCATCATTTTCACTCAGGTCTAGTTCCAGTCTGGTCATTAGAATGGAGCAATGACCAGAATGAAACTAGTTCTGGTCATAGTTCCATTCTAGAACATCCTATGTTCTAGAACATAGAACATTAACTTCTTAGTTGAGTTAATGTTCATTCTTGTAAGATTGTAATTTTAGAATAACCTAAGAAAATCCTGTTTCGATACATGAAGGCATCAAAGTGGATTTCTTGTTTGATTGACATTTAAAAAACTTTTTTTTTTTTTGTCTATTTCCCAGATCTTCCACAATGTTGTGTGTGTGAAGAAGAGGAGATTCTCAATGACACAAAACCACAGAGGAACCAACTCATCTCTCATGGCTCTGCAGAAACTGAGAACCAGGATCAGGAAGGAAGCAATTCTGAAGACCCAAAAAAGAGAATGGAAGAACAGAAACCAAAGGAGAGATATGAGAAAACCAAACAGCAGAAAGACAGAACTGATGCTGAAAAACAAAAACCGCAGAAGAAAACTCACAAAGGGCAAAAAATACATTCTTGTAAAATTTGTGATAAAACCTTTTCTGGAAACAGTAACTTGAAGACACACATGAGAATTCACACAGGAGTAAAACCTTTCACTTGTTCAACCTGTGGAAAGAGTTTCAATGAAAGAGGGACTTTAACTAAACATATGAGAATTCACACAGGTGAGAAGCCTTTCACTTGTGGGACCTGTGGAAAGAGTTTCAATGAAAACGGCTTTAACTCAGCATATGATAATCACACAGGTGAAAATCCTTTCTCATGTGGGACTTGTGGAAAGAGTTACAGACAAAAAACGACTTTAACTAGGCATATGAGAATTCACACAGGTGAGAAGCCTTTCACTTGTTCAACCTGTGGAAAGAGTTTCAGTGTAAAAGCGAATTTAACTGCGCATATGAGAATTCATACAGGTGAGAAGCCTTTCTCATGTGGGACTTGTGGAAAGAGTTACAGACAAAAAACGACTTTAACTAGGCATATGAGAATTCACACAGGTGAGAAGCCTTTCATTTGTTCAACCTGTGGAAAGAGTTTCAGTGACAGAGTTACTTTAACTCGGCATATGAGAAGTCACACAGGTGAGAAGCCTTTCTGGTGTGAGACCTGTGGAAAGAGTTTCAGTGTCAGAGGGACTTTAACTCGGCATATGAGAATTCATACAGGTGAGAAGCCTTTCTCATGTGGGACCTGTGGAAAGAGTTTCAGGATGAAACAACAATTACTTAAACACAAAGATTCATATGGATGCAAAACAGTGACGTGCGGTGAGACTTTACGATGTATAAATACAGACACCATGTATGTTATTGGTTACTCAGAAATTTTGCTCATGCATACAACGCTGGAGGGCAGAAAGACCGTTCTTTTACACGTCATCCATAGCTGTAGTAACCAGGTGAAACTTAGAAATGTAGGTATTGTTTCGTGTTATGATCCACAGCAAAGGGAGAAACCTAAACCACTTTCTCACTCTGCATCACCCAAGCTACATGCAGACTCGTTGCAATAGCAACTGATAACAATGCCATGTTTTAGGATTTAACATAAAAAATAAAGAATTTTGGTCACAGAACAGAACATTGAGTTTTTTGCAGTAGTTTGTTTTAGTCTTAGTGTTTTATTAATAAATCATTGCTGTGGTAGATTAGCTAACATTTCTACTTTACTGAATTCTTTAGACATACAGACTGTGGCCCACAAAATGCACATTTCTTTAAAAAAAACTAAACAAAAACATGTTTTTCCCATCTTACCTTTACTTATAATTAAATCCATAACAATTCTGCACAAAAATATCGGTTCATCCAAAGCCAAGTCGATGCTCTGAATGTCTTGTACTAAGATAGACTTGAGGTCCATTTTTGTCTACCAGCTTTGTTTTTCTAAAATCAGTTTTTTGTTTTATTTCTCAGTCACATTTGTACTTAAGGTTCCCATCAGTGTCCCATTAGATACTGAAGTTAAAGAGGGGAATGTCTTCAGGAAGGTTTAATTTCTGTGGATTTCAGGTGTCTTGCAGTTCTGTGTCATGTAGTTATTGAGTTCAGCTTTTACATTGTTGACTTTTACATGTATGACTTGAAATAAAGTATTTTACATTTTAAAGCAGTGTATTATTCTTTTTTCCCATAAATTGCTGGGTTTCAGATGATGTAGCACCGATGCCTTACCATGGAGGTGGGGGTCAGAAAGTAAATGCAGCACATTTAGGCATTTTGACTTAAACATCAAAATGTCTTAAGTCTGTGCCATGTGTGGTTGTTCCAACCATTCTAAAAGAGAGAAAGAAAAACTTTATCTTTGTGTTTTGAAGGTAGTCGGTCACAAGGAAGTTAATTTAGAAAAAAACACCTAAAAAATAGAAAAGTGGATCAACAATCTACAGCTAAAACCAGGAGGTGCAGGAAGTAATAATGCGGGAGTTTGCAGAGCCACTTTTCTAACATCGTTTAAATTGTATTTTCAGATATTTTATTGGATGGTAACTTAGAAAGACAAGCATTCATATGCAGGCACATGCAGAGGGGGTCTGGAGAGGGCTTGAGCCCTGCCCCTTTTACCCTTGATGCCCCCAGAGCCCTTTTTGGGTTTATTTTGTTTTCAACTTGAGTCTTTTGTGTCAGGAGGCCTTCTTGTGCCTCTAAATATAACACCTAGCAAAACTAATGAGTCTGGCTGCCCTTGGTCTAATTATGAGGATTCCCAGTCCTTCTGCCTCCACGTTGTTCAGACACCGGGTCCGTGGCGAGGAAGAGCGGGGCTGAACTGTGACCTCTAACGGTCAAATTTTGGGCAATAATTCATTTTTTTCTAACGTACACTTGTGAATAAAAACATAGGTCTGATGTTGAAGTTATAAAACCAGTTTCTATTTATATTTGTAATAATGTCTGGAGGGCCCCTACCAGCAGCTACTGGGTTCTCTTTGTTTACCTTGATATCTCAGCCTTATAATTCTAGATCTCAGAGGTGCTGAAATCAAATTAATGACATGTGAGAAGTTAACTGTTTATATATGAAGGTTTTCCTGATTTACTATTTGTTTCAAACAGGTTTTATTTCAGTCTCTATGTTTATGTAAATCGATTCTGTCACAGTCTTTGACTAAACAGAAAAATAGAAAAAGACCATCATTATGATACTTTATCATCTAAAATTATAGAAAAGTTTCAATGATTTTTTTTATCTGAAATTCAATCCACATCATCAAACCATTTTGTAAGCAGAAAATTTATTTAAAACCATGTCAAAGAAATGCATCCATTTCTCCAAATCATTAAAATAAAAATATGTACAAAGGATAAAAACACAATAAAGACTCCAAAATTTCAGAAGTCTAAATCTCAAAGCATTCAAACTCATTGTTTGTTAGACGATCTCTCCCTCAGTCTCATTCAGTAAAATGGAAATATAAAACTGGAAGAATAAAATTAATTTTTTAGAATTTCAGCTAAATATCCAGATTAAAATGCTTTGTAAGCAAAACCTGCTACATTTAAGAATTTAAGTCGGTTGCAATTACTCCACTTCCAAACAGCAACTTACTGAGAATCTTGAGGTTCACATTGTGCCATCAAACCTGTGCAAGTTCTCATGTGAACAGTTACATTTATTTAGAGTGAACCTTTTTCTACTGAATCTACAAAATAAAAGCTTCCAACCCGTGTGAATCTTCATGTGATGACTTAAACTGGATCTATACACAAAACATTTTGCTCGCTTTTCACTAAGGGTGCAGACATGACATGGTGAGCTGGTCTAATAGTCAAACCTCACAGCGGAGAACAGAACAGTGGCTGAGGTCAATAACGTTGAGGAATCAGATCAGCTTCACATGCATGTATCTGCTGCTCACCAATGTCCCAAAATTAAGGAAATCAACATTTATGAATCAGCCAGCTGATAAATCAATGCAAGCTACTTCTCACCTGTGTGAATTCTGATGTGAGAAGTTAAGTTGTGTTTGTGAGAGAAACCTTTTCCACAATCCCACATGAGAAAGGTTTCTCACCTGTGTGAGATCTCATGTGAACAGTTAAACTTTTTTTATGAGGGAAACATTTTCCACAGGCCTCACATGAGAATGGCTTCTCACCAGTGTGAATTCTCATGTGAGAAGTTAAGCTCTGTTTTGAGTGAAACTTTTTCCACAAATCCCACATGAGAAAGGTTTCTCACCTGTGTGAGATCTCATGTGAACAGTTAAACTTTTTTTATGAGGGAAACATTTTCCACAGGCCTCACATGAGAATGGCTTCTCACCAGTGTGAATTCTGTTGTGAGAAGTTAAGTGCTGTTTTTGAGTGAAACTTTTTCCACAAATCCCACATGAGAAAGGCTTCTCACCCGTGTGAGATCTCATGTGAGCAGTTAAGCTTTGCTTTTGAGTGAAACTTTTTTCACAGGTCTCACATGAGAAAGGTTTCTCACCTGTGTGAATTCTGATGTGATTAACTAACTGAGATTTCCTCAGAAATCTTCTTCCACAGGTCTCGCATGAGAAAGGTTTCTCACCTGTATGAATCGTCATATGAGCAAGTAACTGAGATTTAAACAAAAAACTTTTCCCACAGGTTTTGCAGGTGTAAGGTTTCTCACCCGAGTGAATTCTCTTGTGTCTGTTTAAAGAGTCGTTTAGACGGAAACCTTTTCCACAATCTGGACAAGTGAACGGTTTTTCACCTGTATGAATTCTCATGTGATCATTTAAACGACTCTTGTAAGGGTAACTTTTTCCACAGGTGGAACATTTGAAATGTTTCTTAGCCGTGTGAGTTTTCTTGTGATTCATCAAGGAACTATTTTGAGAAAAGGTTTCATCACAAATTTTACAAGAATATAGATTTTGGTCTGGTTGAGCTTTCATGTGCGTTTCTTGTTCTGAAGTCTCTGTTGAGTTTTTCTGCTGTTTGTTCAAAATGTCATCAGTTTCCTGTTTCATCACAAGATTCTCTTCATCTGACTGATGGAAAGTTGCTCCTCTTCCTCTTTGATCTGCAGAGGTTCTGGTTCCTCTTGTTCCTGTTTAATCTGCAGAGGTTCTGGTTCCTCTTGATCCAGTTTCATCTGCAGAGGTTCTGGTTCCTCTTGATCCAGTTTCATCTGCAGAGGTTCTGGTTCCTGTTGTTCCCATTTCATCTGCAGAGGTTCTGGCTCCTCTTGTTCCTGTTTCATCTGCAGAGGTTCTGGCTCCTCTTGATCCAGTTTCATCTGCAGAGGTTCTGGTTCCTGTTGTTCCCATTTCATCTGCAGAGGTTCTGGTTCCTCTTGTTCCTGTTTTATCTGCAGAGGTTCTGGTTCCTCTTGATCCAGTTTCATCTGCAGAGGTTCTGGTTGCTCTTGATCCCATTTTATCTGCAGAGGTTCTGGTTCCTCTTGTTCCCGTTTCATCTGCAGAGGTTCTGGTTCTGGTTCCTCTTGATCCACTTTCATCTGCAGAGGTTCTGGTTCCTCTTGTTCCAGTTTTATCTGCAGAGGTTCTGGTTCCTCTTGTTCCAGTTTTATCTGCAGAGGTTCTGGTTCCTCTTGTTCCAGTTTTATCTGCAGAGGTTCTGGTTCCTCTTGATCCAGTTTTATCTGCAGAGGTTCTGGATGATCTTGATCTGAAGTGAAGTTTCTCTCCGGGTTTCTGAGCTCATTTAGATCCTCCTCCTCTTTGCACACACTGCATTGTGGGAGATCTGGACAAAAAAGTCAAAATATGAGGTCACACAATGAACCCTTCAGTTTAACAAAACTAAAATGAAAATGTTCTTCATCAGGGGTCGTGCTGTAGTAGCGCAACCCACGTTTGGAGGCCTTCAATCCTCCACACGGCCGTCAGGGGTTTGATTCCCGGACCCGACGATATTTGTTGAATGTCTTTCCTTAGCAGATTCCTGTCAGCCTTCTTTGTATCTGTGTATTGTTTCACTATAAATGGTTCACTTATTGCATAAATTAAAATGCAAAAAATCTAAACAGAACAAGATCTTATGAAATAGGAGCGTATCGCTGCACACATTTAATGAGCACAAGCTGCCGGTCTGTGTATCGTTTCACTATAAATGGTTCACTATTTAGCGGCACTGAAGTGAAAGTGCTGAGCAAACCTTATCAGGGGGAAAGTGAGAGAAAACTGTGGATTGAAATCCACCGTGAGAGTCAGATGTGAGGATTAAGGGGTAAACTGCTGGAGAAAAAGCAGCAGGATAAAGCAGAGCAGAATTTAAACATGGAAGAGATGCAGCCGGATCCGGTTTGAGACCCAAACAACGAGGTGCGCCGCCTCACTGACTGATATTGGAAATCAATGTGAGCCTTTAAACCAATCAGCAGGAGCAGATAAGTTATCCTGTTCAGGTCGATTTATTACACCGATCCACTGAAACATGTAGATACACATTAGTGGTGTTTTACATCATTTCCTGATGTTTTGAAGTTGATTTTTTTAGACTCTAC